TCTCGTTACCATAACACATTTTTAGTAAGGGACCTGGGGAGCAAGTGCATCTTTATTTCTTTATTAGCTTTTCCCGTGCGACTTCATCAGCATGAAATTATGAAAAATTTATTTTATTGTTTACATTTGTCAAATTATCAATAGCAAATGTCAAAATGACATGACATGACGCACCTTATCAATCTGTCTTTCTTGATGTTGGCAGCAAATTATGGTCTTTTTCCCGCATTAGGGTCTTTATCCAAAATATTTACCCCCTAAGTTTAATGGCGTAAAAACAAATAGCCTAAAGCGTGACGTAAGTGTAGGGCTTTTTATAAAAAAAATAATTATTCAAAAACATGATGTAATTGTTGACATCTTAGGCAACTAAGAAGTGTGTGTTTACGCTTTATTATAATAGTACAGAAGTACAGATTATTTAAAAAAAAACTCAAGTTTATGTTATTGTCTATTTTGTACCTATTACAGTTCATATAAGGCAGCAACTAGTTTAAAATAAAGATAAATGGTATTGATTTTTCCACAGACTAAATAACTTAAGAATACATAATAGTTAAATACCTAACATATTCTGTCGGAGTGTTTGAATGTGATATTTATTGACAGATCAGAGCCGAAGCAGAAGGCTCACGTGGACCTGCGCAGCAAGCTGGCCACCAGACCACCAGCTCCGGCTGAGAGGCCGCACAGGCAGAAGATAGTCTTCGAACATAAAGAGGAACGCAAAAAAGGTAAATGTATGAATTGTATGTAAGACTAGATGTTGCCTGCGACTGCAGCTAGGAATTTAACTTGACATATACCGATCTGCAATATCCATGACAAAGTCCAGTTAAAGTCTGATCACCCATTTCCGAGATTAAAAGACACAAACAAGCTTGCACACAGATAGATAATTTTCAAAATTGTTTTTTTTTTGTTATCAGTAATGTAAAAATATCATGTTAACGAAATTTGAATTTGTGTTTTCGATATGCTCTAATTTTTTTAATATATTTAAGTACTGGAATGTGGTTTTCATAATATTTTAAGCCTTCACATATAGAGATATTTAACTTGTATTATAATAACTAGCTGTTCCCGTGCTACTTAAATCGCATGAAATTATGAAAATCATATTTTGTTGTTTACATGTCAAATTATTAATTGCAAATGTCAAAGTGACATGACATTGACAAATCATGGCAAACTTACTTCCTTGATGTTGGCAGCAACTTATGGTCTCTTTCCTACATTACGGTTTTTATCCAAAACATTTACCCCCTTAGTTTAATGGCGTGAAAACATATAGCCTAAAGCGTGACGTAAGTGTAGGGCATTTTATTTAAAAAAAGGATTATTCAAAAATATGCTGAGATTGCTGACATCTTAGGCAACAAAGAAGTGTGTGTTTACACTTTATCATAATAGTATAGTTATATTTTCCAATGTTATAGACAAATCTCCGGCTCGAAGGACCGTAGTATCGAGTTCTACTAAGTCTGAAGAACATCAGGAAAAGAAAAGCAATAAGGTATTTATTTATAATTAATAACCATAT